ATATATATATATATATATATATATATATATATATATATATATATATATATATATATATATATATATATATATATATATATATATATATATATATATATATATATATATATATATAGGGAGAGGTTCTAATAAAAACCTAGAGAACTAAAAACCAATCCTAACCCTACATTCTATTTCATCCAATGGTCAAGATTGAAAATGGCAGAATTGAAAATAAATGCAAATCAGTTGACAAAATACCAGTAAAAGGGGTAATTTAGGAAAAGAGGCATTAATGAAAACCGCTGTAATTAATTACGAAAATACGGCGGACACTTTTTTCCGCGAAAAATCGATTCAGTTCTACTATTTTGAATACAGTTTCATCTTCTCTCTACGCGAACAACTAAACTCTTCACATTCCGTCGATTTCTCCACACTTAGGTTTCTTCGAACATCTCATTACAACAAGAACGAAGACGAAAAGCAAGACTTCGACGATAGAGATGAAGAAAAGCAACTCCGACACTCCAAAACCCTCGTCTTCAAGAAGGGGTAAAACATTTCAAACCCTTGTATTAAAAATTTATATTTTTTATCAAAGTTTGAATATTTTTCATAGATTCAGTGAGTAAAGGTTCGGAATTTCGACATAATTAACTTGCATGTTGTTGAATACTTTTCGACATGAATAAATGTTATCGATGCATGTTCTATTTTAGGGTTTTAAATTTTTTTCATTTACTTTGATCTTGTTAGAATAAGTCAAGTTTTTTTTATATTGTAAGATGTTTTCATTTGTTCTAAATGGATAGCGGTAAATATTTGTGGTCTGGATTATGCAATATGCACTCTAGTTGAATCTACTCGATTCAGTTGAGTGGATCGAGATTCACTAGTTGAATCTATTCGATTCAGTTGAGTGAATCGCGATTCACTGGGTGAATCGACTCGATTCAGTTTTGTAAATCACGATTCATTGTGTGAATCTACTCGATTCAGTTAGGAAAGTGAGGGTTTTAAATTTTTACTGTATTTCTTTGATCTTGTTAGAATAATTGAAGGTTCTTTTATATTGTAAGAGGTTTTATATCATTGAATCTGGATTCAATTTGCTGAAGTTTGATACATTTTGTTGAATCTGGATTCAATTTGCTAAATCTCAATAAATTTGGTTGAATACACTATATTGAATCGAGATTCAATCAAATGAATGTAGATGCAATACAGTGAACCTCGATTCACTACATAGATTAAATGGAGTGGATTGAGATTCACTCAAGTGAATCGCTATTTAGTGGACTGATACGAAATTCATTACAGCAAATCGCTAATAACTGGATTGTAATATCTTCTTTCAATAATGTAATTCAACCAAGTGGAAGGTTGACACCATGCATTATTCAAAGACTGGGCTCAGTAAAAAATCAATTGTCATCTGTTTAGCAGGTCTACGATCTAGATCAAAGCACAAACAAAAAGCAGGTGTTGGGATTGTAGACGATGACTTCATCAACCCACCAAATAATCCTGCCGGTGAGGAAACATCAATGCGTACAAGGGATGAAGAAAATGAACAGACCACATTAAGGATGAAGAAGAAAAGGGTTGGTGTACTAAACATCTCGATTCACTTAAGTGAATGTTGATTCACTTCATTGAATCAAGATTCACTAAAGTAAACATATTGCTGTAATAAATATCTTTAAATTTATTTGTGTATTCAATGATGGATAATTTCATCTAATTATATTATATTTCTTACTGAAGAAGGTTGTGAAAAGAAAATATGTGAGCTACAACAGTGACGATGACTACGTCGAACCACCAAATAATCCTGCCGGCGAGGAAACCTCAAAGCGTAGGAGGGATGAAGAAAATGAACAAACCACAAAAGAAAGGAAGAAGATGAAAAAGGTTGGTGTACTAAACATCTTTATTTTTTTTTGGTATTAACTGATGGATAATTCGATCTAATTATGTTTTTTTTTCTCACTGTAGAATTTGTTTAAAAAAAATGTGAGAGCTGAACCTAAGGAGTTGACTAGGATACGTGTCTCTCCAAAGATATTCTCTGATATGGTTTTGACACTCTCTGACTCACAGAAAGAATGGGTTAGACTAGCTGGTTTTGGAGGTCTTTTAAATTTTGGATTAAAGGAACTGCCTCATATGTTGGGGTACCAGATTCTGCAATCGTTTGACAGTGAATCCGTTGCGCTTAATCTTCCCAGAGGATCAATAAGTATCACAGAGGAAGATGTACATCAAGTTATGGGATTACCTCTTGGCATGAAGGTTATACCAGACTCCAGTACTGGGAAGTCATCATTGGTAGATGCTTGGAGGGATCAATTCAAAGACAGATATGGTTGGAAAATTACTCCAGGGGCTGTGGCTGACAAACTGAAGCAGACTTCTGATGTTAACCTTTTTTTCAAACTGAATTTCTTGGTTCTCGTTCACAACATCATGATCCAGTCGTTTAGCAATCCGTATGTCAACCAACGGATTCTAGTACTTGGTGAAAATGTTGATCAGTGCTGTTCATACAATTGGTGTTCTTTTTTGATTGACTCTATGATAGAAAGCCAACACAAGTGGAAGGTTGACCCGACAAAACAATTCTACACTGGTCCTCTTGTATTCTTGATTGTAAGTCAATTTTATAATATTGATTTATTTTTACATTACTGTAGTTAAAGTAGTTTTACTTGATAATTACTAATTGGTATGCTTAATTTCTTATCTCCGTCTTTCTAGCTGTTCTATGCCGATCGGGTTCTGTTCAAAGGGAGAAGATTGGTTGAGAGAACAACCCCTACTTTTATAGGCTGGACTGACTGGGCCTTGAAGGAAAGACAGTCAGAGGAAATTAGTACAAATTCATTTGGCAAAGGTGCAATTACAGAGAGGGTTGAACTTGCACCTTCATCTCTTCCTACTGGAAACTCACCTAAAAGTGTTGATACAATTAGAAAGGTTAGCCAATTAAGTTGCAAGTCTTTGTTTATTCAATTTAATCTCAAATACAGTAGGAGTGAATCTCTATTCACTTAAACTGAATTTCAATTTATTGGTGTCGCGATTCAGTAGGAGTGAATGTCGATTGAATGAAATTCAAAATCAATTTACTGTAGTGAATCGCGATTCACTACGACTGAATCTCGATAATCGACTCGACTAAAATTGTTTATTCAATTTAATCACAATACAGTAGGAGTGAATCTCTATTCACTTAAACTTAATTTCAATTTATTGTAGTGAATCGCGATTCAGTAGGAGTGAATGTCGATTGAATGAAATTCAATATCAATTTACTGTAGTGAATCGCGATTCACTACGACTGAATCGCGATTCACTACGACTGAATCGCGATTCACTACGACTGAATCGTGATTCACTACAACTGAATCGCGATTCACTACGACTGAATCTCGATTCACTACGACTGAATCGCGATTCACTACGACTGAA